ACCATACACACATCAATTGTGTAAAGCGCATTTGTACATCGTTTCTCAAAACATTTTCTCTCCATTTAAACCCCCGACATTAGGTCCTCATTTTTCCCCTGACCTGAAGTTCTTACTGATGAATGCTAAAGAATATAGTGTTCAGTATGGATTACAATTCAATGAAAAGTAAACAGATATCCTTACAACCAAACCAGTCGATAACATGTTAAGTGGAAGCAGCAGTCAAGAAATCGAGCAATGTATTCCAGCAGTCAAATCTGCTACACAAGACCTCTTTAAATGTGAAAGAGCACGGAAGCCACTGAGGTGTGCCTGACTCCACCCACGGTACTTCCAGCCCCCTCATATGCATGTGAATAATGGCCGAGAAGAGAGGCTGGAGCTCTGATGCGCTGAGCTCTGGTGGTGGAGAAGAACACAGAAAGTTCTATGGCCAGCCAGAAAACAGACAATCTGTCTTGGAGGAAGGTGAGTCAGAACAGTCTTTAACAGCGAGGATGGTGAGATTCCTACAAACCACAGGCAAGTTATCAGTAGCTACAAGCAGGGCGCAAACATAACAACGTGTGGAGGGCACGGGACCGGCAGTGTTCTGTTCTGCTGTGCACAAGGTTGTTACGACGTGGAGCAAACTCAATGGCACCTGACCACAGCCCCTCCGGCAGAGCCCTGTGCCCTGTTTTCACACCACGCCAGTCAGCTTTGGCAGTCTCGGAAACTCAAATACTGTTCCTTTTAAATGTTCTTTGAATTTGGGGAACAAAAAGAACTCAGGGTTGTAGGGTGGATAAGCTTCTCAATGAAATTCTCCGAGGGCAGCCCTCGCTACCTTTAAGGATGAGCAGAAAACCAGATTATGGCTGATGTACTTACAATTAACATCTTCTTAGTTGATCTCCCCTTTGTTCTAGTTTTTAATATTTTCTACTTTCTTTTCAATTGAGAGTATTTTGATTTATTGTTGTTATGGTTGTTTGTTTTTTTTGGTGGGAGGGATATGATTTTCTGTAATGCAATTCAGGATAGAGGTAAATTTATAAAAACAGTAACTGGATTAATGGTTTCATGGGGGGTAGGGCATGAGAGGTTGACGGAAAATGGGGAGCTAATCACAATGAGTACAAGAAAGAAGAACATTCTAAAATTGATTGTGGTGAGGATTGTACAACTTTTCTTAATATGATATAACTATTGAATTGTATGATATGTGGACTATTTGCCAATAAAACTTTTTTTTTTTTTTTAACGAGAGAGCAGATATTGTCATGATGGAGAAAAATTTCTTCACATAACTCCCCTGGTCTTTTTTTACACCAACAAGCTTGCTGTTTTTTAAAAACTTCTTCCTAATAAGCTCCCGGGAGTGTCCTTCCAGACAGGCAATCAAGATTACCCTTCGGAATCCTATGCAACAGTTGCCATCACATCCTGGACTGACCTCCCTGTCTTGAATTTAACTGGAGCAGCAAAAGCTACCAGAAGGCGCTGCCATAAACGAATCTTCCTTGGAAAGCACCCTAACAAGATGAAGGGCTCATAGAACCTGCCTACAGCTATCCATGGATCACAGAGCCACATTCACACGTTTTCCTTGGGATCAACCTGTGAAGACATGAACTAAAACCCCAGTAAACACTAAAACCAAACTCATTGCCATCAAGTTGATCCCTATTCAGAGTGACCGTACAGAAGTAATACTCGCTGTTACGTGGCCATCCTTACAGGAACGATCCCTGAGCAAGGTGAAGAGTGAGTCTGCTAAGCATACGGTGCCACAGCTGCTCTCCGGCAGTCTACTTCTGTCAAGATAAACCGCTGGCCCAGAGCTGCTTCCAACTCCCAGTGCCCCCACAGGACGGAGCAGGACCAGCCTCCTACGCCCCCAAGACTATCCATCTTTGTGCAGCACAGCGGCTGCTAGGTTCGAACTGCCAACATTTTAGCTAGCATCTGAGTGCTTTGACCTCTGTGCCACCAGAGCTCATTTCTGTAAAGATTAGTAGCCTTGGAAAATCATGGTAGTTCTCCTCTGTCCTATTGGGTAGCTATGCGTCAGAATTAAATCAGTGGTAATACGTTTGTTTGTTTGTTTTTTAATTATAGAAATTGTGAAATAGAGACTTAGAAATATTACGACATTTGTCTAAGATGATAATATTGGCAAATTGTCCTCTTTGGGTTAAAAGGAAGTAACCATCTAATTCAAGAAACTGTTTAAATCACTATCGTATTCAAGTTTGAGGACATCAATGTTAGGACAAGTGGCAACTGGGAGGAGTGATTAGTACATGTTGTTTAAACAGACACGTCTCACATTCTATACAACTTACTGTAAGCTACATTTTTACGATTAAAGAGAACCTTGGTTTTTTCTGTGCTGCTAGCAACCTCTAATACCGTGGTTCTCACCCTGTGGGTCACAACCCCTTTTGGGGGTCAAATGACCTTTTCACGGGGATCGCCCGATTCATAACAGTAGCAAAATTACAGTTATGAAGTAGCAACAGAAATAATTTTATGATTGGGTCACCATAACATGAGGAACCGTATTAAAGGGTCGCGGCATTAGGAAGGTTGAGAACCACTGCTCTAATAGTTATTCCTAAGTTTAATGAAAGGTATTTATTTTTATAACACACACACACACACACTCACACACTTCAGAAAGTCATGGAAAATGGCATTAAAATATAAAAGAATTTTCCAAAACCTTTTAAAGTTTACACACACATACACACACACACACACACACTCTCTCTCTCACACACACACACACACACACACACACTAACACAACTTTAATAGGAGTAAATCAGTTAGTTTCTCACCAAAGACAGGAGTTACTGTACATCTCACTCACTTGCCCTCTGAATAATATGTACCTTTATGATCACCACATTTTAAGAAATATATGCCAGAGCCAAGGACAGAAAGAATTATCTACTACAATGATGGACACAGCATATGGTGATATATTAAAAAAATCCCAAGCCAAGTCAAAAGAGAAGGTAAGAATGGATATGAATGAAGTGTCATTGTTAATATTAATTGACTAAGTAAAAGCACTTAAACAAGTTAAGCTATTTAAATAACAGATACTTCAAAAGATTATTAACAATAAAAAGAAATATGGTATATTACATGAGAGCTGGGATCAACACTTGTCTGTCTGGACTGCACAGAAAACCCAATAGAATTCAATAACTTTAAAAAATGTATATTTTAATTATGACATTTTTTCATTATAAAAGTATATTCTGAAAACTATTTACAGAAAAGCATAATCAAATAATTGAATATATTATTTTAAAGTTTATTTTTCAAAAATCATGTGTTTAATCCAAACTGATCTGATGTTGAAAGATTTCACATTACTACTGGGTAGAGAAGTACAATTAAAAAGTACTTTTCAAACTAATATAAGCCACTTCTTTCTTGGGAGACAGATGAAGAAACTCTACTCTCATACAAAGTTATGAGTTCTACCCTGTCCACATGGGGTCGCTATGAGTATTGACTCCATGGCAGTGAGTTGGGTTTCTTTTTAAAGAATACACTAAACGTTCTTTTGAATAATTTATCATGAGATGCTGTATATTTCCACCCAACAGTAATAGCCTCAGTCTAGTTAGTTAGCAATGAAGATCTAAGTGCTGAGTTCAAAGGTAAACCAGAGTGACTTCAGTGGTAGTACAGAAGCTAAGACTCTCTGAAAGAACAGAGAGCACTAGTTACAATCCTCCACTTGTCCACAGGAAAAAGAAGACGCGTCATTACTTCCCCTTTTTCTACAGAACTAGATACCTCAAATCACAGGGCAGAAAGACATTCTGTGGGCTTTCCACCCTAACTACACCATGATATTACAAGACAGACTTTATTAATGATATTCAATTACACATTACTCAAATGTCAGTATTTTATTCCCGTCTGGTGCACATTAAACAGAATGTTCTATAGATGAACACTCACTTTTCTCCGTTGCCCCAGGCAAACAAGGTCCCATCTTTACTAAAGGTATAGACTTTACAATTTTTCCCGGATTCCCTGAAAATGAAAAAAAAAAAAGTTTAAATTAGTAAGCATTAATACTTCACACACACACACACACACACACACACACACACACACACACACACGAGATAATATTCACAATCTTACCACAAAGAGTTTACATAAACTAAAAGAAAATCTCCAAAATGCCTTATTGTTCTTCTTAGGAGCCCTCCAGTCAGTCCCGACCCACAGAGACCCTATGCACAACCGAACAAACGAACTGGTCCGTTGCCATCCCCAGTGCTCAGTCTGTCTAAAGGCTGAACCACTCAGTACGCAGTGTTCACAACCACTGGAAAGGAGCTGTACATTAATTTTATACCACCAGAGCCATCTGAAGAAAGATACAGTCCTTTTGGGCAAATAACTAGTTATGTGAAAACCTGACAGGGTAAGTAAACGTGAAAGTTACCAGCTGAGCCTGAGAGGGCTGAAGGATTTCAGCACAGAAATGCACTAGACACCAGCATAACAAAATAATAATGAGAAGAATATCTTCATGGGGCCAACAAGTGGCCCTGGAGTTGAATGACAAAGACCTCCCATTAATTTCTCTGTATAGAGAAAGAGAAATATTGGCAATAATAAGAGCATCTTGACATTAAATAAATGCTGATGTGCACACTGTTGATGTATCAGGCGATGGCCAGGGCTAGGCAAAGCACTGCTCAGTGGCAGTACACTCGGGCCAGACTAAGGATGGCCTTGGCTTTGGATGGAGACATTGGTACTTGGTCCTGTAAAGACAGGATTAGAGGGGGAGGAATAAAGGAATCCATTTTCCTATAGCAAAGAGCCCTCTATTTAGGAGGAGGTAAAGGAGGGACATGGGGGGCAAGGGGGTCAGAAGAGAGCAAGCTGTCGTTTAAGTTGTTGAATGCTAAAATTATCTGATATGTAAACTTCTAGTTTGCAGAAGGCTATGGACAAGAGTGGAAGCCCAAATTCCATTTCCGAGTCCACACATAGATTAAAGCGCTGGTGAATCTGCTAAAGTCGATTACGGTAGATATAGCTAAAAACCCACTACAGCCGAGTTGATGCCAACTCACAGTGATAAGTTAAAATGTAATATTTTATTTCATCTCTCCTCTGACTCATTTAAAAGTTGTTTCAGTTAAACAAACGAAAAAAAAAGTGAAGGAGAGATTCACGTGGATTAAGCCTCTGGTAAATTCTCTCTGAACTTGTCTCCAGATTTGTAGTTATAATATTAGATTAGAACTTCCTGGTTAAGAAAAACTTGAATTTTTAAACAACAAACGGGTCCTGAGAACCGACCAGTCTATCTCCCATAAGCTAGACACACGCTTTAAGATGATATCTGTGCTTCTGCAGTCATGCAGTAAGGGTATCCTGTACATGTGATCTGCTCTTGGCATAAAACTAGTTACCTAAACATTTTTCTCTCTCACATAAACAGCCACAGCCATTTTTCCACTATCTTATACTTGTGCAATTCATTTCTGAACATAGGGCAAATTTTTCCTTATCAAGTTCCATCCTTTTGGCTTTGACCTATCATTCCTGCCTACTGAGATCCACTTAAATCTTGATTTTTTTAAAAATGGGTCATTCCTCAGATTTATATATTGTATAAATTATGAAACAACTTCTAAGCTATCATCTAAATTAGTGTTTGTAAATGTGGAGCAAGCTTCCCATTGGGGAGCACTGGAACGATCTGGCAGGTTACAGCAGCAGCAAAAGCAGATACCTACACTGTATTCTGGATTATGGACTATAGTACAAACGCTTTTAATTCCCAGTGGAGATTTAATGTTTGTTTTTTCCCCCTGAAAAGATAGTAGTAGACCAAATAAATTTGGGAAGCTATGATTTAAATTTTTTATAAGAATTCTGAACCTTTTCGAGTTTAAAAATAAACTCAATCATCTGAATTCACAACCCTTAGCTAATGACCGAGAATCAGCAAAAAGAAGACCCTAGATGAGATGGGAATGGCTCACACCTAACAACTGTGAGGATGGAGCAGGACCAGGCATCAGGTTGCTGACTCAGAGCGAGCTATCCTATCTAATCAATCTATCTATCTATCTATCTATCTATCTATCTATCTATCTATCTATCATCTATCTATCTATATCTACACACACCCCCACCTAGCAATAACAACTACCAATGACCACTCTATCATCACCCAACCCAAAGACTTCCTTGTTTCTCAGGTATTTCAGTAAAGTCAGGTTTATAGTTTTACTATTCTGATGTGTCTAGAAATTATAAAGAATGTCAACTTGAAGGAATTTGTCTTCAGCGAGCTTGATTCTAATAACCACCCTCTTATCTTAATGCTTGTAAGCTGGCCTTTCAAAAACTCATTTAGGCAATTGGGAAACTAGCTTATCAGTTCCTTTTATTTCTCCAGAACATAAAAACACAACAATAATTTACAATGTACGACGTCGTTTTCTAAAGGCATCCTCATGGTATAATGGACTACACATTTGGTTCCTCACTGCAATGTACGCAGTTTGTGGTAGTTACATAATCTGTTGTCAATTTGAGACTTAAGAGTGAAGGGGTAGAGTTTAGCCTGTCAATCAGGTCGCAGCCTGGCCTCATTAGGAGTCGCCAAGGACACATTCCCAACAAGCCACATGGAGACCCACACCAGTGCTGTGATGCTTCTACCACCACTGGCTCCACAAGACTTTCCACCCACTGGCCTGTGATCTTCCTACATTTGGCATTATTGCATGGGTGCTTAAATCTAAAGAGGAATTTATGGACTAGTATTGGACATATAGACTTGATCTGGACTGGGATGTTTTCTTAATGTGCAACTACTCTTTATATAAAGTTCTTTCTTATACACAGATGCGTGTCTATGAATTTGTTTCTCTAGTCTACCCAGACTAATACACAATTTGAAACCACCAGGTGCTCAGCACAGGAGAACGATGAGGCTTTCTAATCCTGTAAGAGTTACAGCCTCGGAAACCCACAGGGACAGCCTTACTCCGTCAGACACGGTAACTAGCAGTCAGAAATGACTCGATGGGAGCCGAATGATACAGTTCCCTACCTCATCATCAAAAAGTAAGCCATACCTTTGAAACACAGTGCTTTCTGTAAAATGTGGTGGCCCATTCACCATGTAGAGTCCTTCTGACCCTCGGACTGAAGAAATAAAATGAAAAAAATCACCATTAATTTGTAATAAAGATTGATTTATCACAAAAGTTTTAAAAAATTAAAATATTAATGAGTCCTTAGAACATTTCATAGGGTTATGGGACATTAGCATTAAAAGAACACATTTGCTTACCCTGTACAGGGACAGCAGAAAGCAGTTTCTCTCCCCACTACCTGCATGTCCCTTACAATGAAACTGTACTGAATTCTTCTAGAATGATGCACACGATTAACTACATAACTGCAGGCTAGCAAAATCAAACCTTCGATCGCAGATAGGCGCAATGCATACAGACCTTCCTGATTTAAAGTACACAGACACCCCAGGGCCCTTTGGTCCCTTCATCTGCAACATGGGCTGTATGGGCAAAGGAGATTCTGTGTCAACTCACCTGGGAACAAAAGGCTTTTTTTGGTGACAGGAGCAAATGAGAAGAAATTTTACCTTTCCCTCTCCGTCCTGATTATTGCACAAGGAATGACGCTTATGAAATACCTCTGAATGTCACGTATTCACTGAGAACCGTAGCTCCAAACAAACTTACTTTCATTTTTCATCTGGAACTCATCACCCTCTATTGTATAAAAATCACATAGCTGCTGGGACTGAAGCAGGTGGTGGTGGTTAGGTACTACCTAATCAGTCTGATTCACAGTCACCCTCCGTTCAACGGAACAAACACTGTCTTGTCCTGTGCCGTCCTCGCCATTGCTCTTTTGTCTGAGCCTAATATTGCAGCCATTAAGTCAATCCACCTTGAGGACCTTCCTCTTTTTTGCTGCCCCACTACTTCACCAGGGACCAGTCTTTCCTGATAACATGTCCAAAGTAGCTGACAAGTCTCACCATCCTTGCTTCAAAGGAGTATTCTAGCTGTACATCTTCCAAGACAAATTTATTTGTTCTTTGGGAAGTTCATGATACTTTGTCAATACTAGTGTTAAAATGCATAATTTTTTAGTCTTCCTTATTCAATATCAACTTTCAAATTCATACGAAGTGATTAAAATGACCACGGCTTGGTCGGCACACCTCAGTCCGCTAAGCAGCATCTTTGCTTTTCGCCACTTTAAAGAGGTCGTGTGCAGCACGTCTGCCTTAGACAATGCATCGTTTGGTCGCTTCGCCGCTGCTTCCGAGAGCACTGATGGTGGACTGAAATCCGCGGCACTGCTACCTTTGCTTCATTTCTCAGGATCTTACCTACTGCTCTAGTTGTGAGGATGCTTGTGTTCTTCACATTGAACTGTAATCCTCATTGAAGGCAGCAATCTTGATTTTCAACAAGTATTTCAAGTCCTCCTCACTTTCAGCAAGCCAGGTTGTCATTTGCATGTCTCAGGTTAATGAGCCTTCTACTTCAATCCTGATACCACATTCTTCTTCACAGAGTCTACCTTGTTTATGTGCTTACATACAGACTGAACAGTGAAAGAACACAACCCTGACGCAGACCTCTCCTGCAGTATTCCTTTCTTCTCTTTGCACAACTGCCTCTTGAATCCATGGACAGGCTCTGCATGAGCACAGTGAAGTGTTCTAGAACCCCCATTCTTTTCAAAGTTACTCATAGTTTGTTATGATAGGTAGTATCCTCCTTTTTAATTAGTTATTTTAGTTTCATATTTCCTATTTACTTTCTGATCTCATTTTCAGAATTAAAGGTGTTATAAGCTTAGAAACAGAATTAGAAGCTGGATCTAAGTTTAATCTTCTTTATATCAGTTTTTCCTCTCAAGTAACCTTCATGAATAAACCCTCAAAAACGTAATTGTCACTTATGAAAGGTAGCTGTGGTGTCTGGCAAAGAGAACATAAACTCACAAAGCAGAGCTAGTGTGGCAGTTACAAAATCTGTGGTCAACTTGTATGAAGGGGTGGAGTCTAGCCTGTCAATCAAGTCACAGCCAATGAAGCCTCTCTGTGGGCATGGCTTTCTCCTGAGGAATCTGAGAACTCCTGTCTTCCTTCTTGGAGACTGGACACACACTCTCTGCTTCATCTTCCGTTTGAAAAGACACATGGAGCCACGCTGACGGCAGCCAGAACCCTCGAGGTGCTTCCACTGCCACTGGATGCACAAGACTTTCCACCCACTGGCCTGTGATCTTCCTGCATTCGACATCATTGCATGTGCTGCGTGAATCTGAAGAGGAATTTACAGACTGATATTGGACATATAGTCTAATATTGGACTTATGGAGTTGATTTAGACTGGTACGGGATGTTTTCTTAATATACAATTTCTCTGATATAAAACTTTCTTATACACATGAGTGTCCCTGGATTTGCTTCTGTCAAACCAGATTAACACAGCTGAGGGGTTCATACCTTGGCTGTGGAATCTTACATACATCACTATCTTTAATGTGTGGCCTAGTCTATAAACCTGAAGTGACTAAAACACAGGGTGACTGTGTGGCTTATGTAAGATTTATTTGAAAAGATAGTGTGCGTTAGGGAGATGGGAGAAATATACTGCATGTTAAAAAATGATTTAATATAAAATACTATTATGGTACTATATTCATGTTATCTCAAAATCTGAGAACAAGGAGGATCACACACATTCACTTACTAACCCCCAAATTATAATCTGAAATACTACATGGGAACAAAGTTGAAGATAAATAAAGCATCTATAAAACAAGATTATACTTTTTTAAACTGATGAATTAGATGCTTCTAAAGAAATCAACCAATTCATTCAAAAAATCTTTATTGGGAAAAAAAATCTTTCAGACCCAGTGTTGAACACTGGAGACACAACACGGAAGAAAACATCCTTTTCTCTGACCACACTGAACTTATATGTGAATCAAATGGCGAGGCAAATAAATGGACCTGTGTACCTCCTTTTAGTAATAAAAAGGAAATTTATATAATGCTATAGGAGACTATAATAGGGGTTTCCGATCAGAAAAATGGAAAAGCTGGAGAAAGTTCTCTTAAGCAAGTGACTGGGTGCTACATTCTGCAGGATGAATCAGCAGAGAGAACAGTAACAGGGAGACTAGTCCCTGGAACGAGGGGTGGCACAGCCTCGGAGGAACGGAGCTTGAAGATGAAGCTGGAGAAGTCAGTCAGGCTCAGCAAAGGGTCTTGGAACCGAAGTTAAGCAACATGAAATCTGTATCCAAAGAATGGTGGGAATGTTCAAAAGGGTTATAGACCTATTTTAAAAACCGTGGCAAAATATAAATACCATCAAACTTACATCATATCCATTTTTAAGTGTACACTTTGGTACGCTCATGATGTTGTCTATGAGGGCTTCAAAATTTCTCACAAATCGAATGAAAAGATCATGAAATTCTTCCACAAACCTTTTGAAGTCCTCTTGAATTCATCGCTATTATTTCCAGAACTTTTTCATCATGCCAAACAGAAATTTCACCCCTATGAAGTAATAGCACTTCATTTCCACCTCCCCACATCCTCGATTCTCCTGTCTGTGAATCTGCCGACTCTGCTGTCGTCATTGCAACCTCATGCACACCTGAAGGAAAACCTGCTGTAAACTAGACCTTGTGACCCACAGGGTTTCCATGAAACCTATTATTCTTTTAGCTAGCTCTCCACTAAACAGTTAACGTCCTTCTGTTCACCAGGCCCACTGCTGGTGAGTCGGTTTCGACTCTTAGGGGCACAGAGGGCAAAGCAGAAGTGTGCCAGAGTTCCATGGCTGCAAATGTTTATGGAAGCAGACTGTTGGGTTTTGTGTCAAAAGTGACTGATGGATTCAACCCAATGACTTGGGGGGCAGCCAAGTGCTCAACCACTGTGCCACCAAGGCTCCTCCATTGTTTAGCACACATGGTAGTGAGAAGACAGAGATGATTAAGACATTGCCCCTGACATTAAGCTGCTCAGTCTAGCAGTGAAAAAGGCACGCACAAACTAGTAACTATCCTATGCGATATGTGGGGAAAGATTGAAAACGAAAACAAAAAAAGGTACATGATGAAGTTTAAGATCAGCCAGGGAGGTGATTGACTCTGGTAAATCAGGAAAGGTTTCTCGGAGAAATTCTTTCTGAAGTGAATTTAAAAGATGAAAAGCAAAACAAAAAAAAAGAAGGTGAAAAGTTGTTTGCAAATCAACACAAGGAACAAGATCACTTTAGGCTGAAGGAAAGGGATTGATAAGTAGTTCAGTACTGATGGGGCACACATTTGATGGTAAGTAAATGAGGTCGAAGAGTTATTAAAACGTATAGCACGTTCTATACACCATGCCACACAAGACAGAATTTAGGTACGGCCAAGAAAAATGAGGAGCTGATACCAAGAGCTCAAATAGAAAGCAAATGTTTTGAGAATGATGGCAACGAATGTACAAATGTGCTTGACACAATGGATGGATGGATGGATTGTGATAAGAGTTGTATGAGCCCCCAATAAAATGATTTTTTTTAAAAAGTAGAAGAATTTAGTTACGGCAAACAAGAAGGAACAACTGTAAAGATTTTTACAGGGGAGAAAATATATCAGCCTTGTGTACTAATTTTTCCTAGAGTTCAAATAAACAGTACCCCAAATAGGTGATTAAAACTCAATCTACCATTATAAAGCTAGAGAAAACGATGCCGTTTAGATAGTCTCTGCAGAGCCTGTTTTCTTGCGCACTGTTGTGTGGTGCCATCGCGTCAGTCAGTTCCGACTCAGTGGCCCTATGTACAAAAGAAGGAAACACTGTCCAGTCCTGGGCCCTGTTCATAATTGTTCTTACGTTTGGGCTCATTGTTGCAGTCACTGTCTCAATCCATCTAGGGCCCTCCTCTTTTTTTCCGCTGCCCCTCTACTTTACCAAGCATGATGGCCTCTCCCAGGGACTGGTCCCTCTGCTGGTAACATGTCCACAGGCATGATGAAGAGATACATTGAACAGGGGCGGGGATGGCACGTAACACCAAAGATGTTAAAATACAGAATGGGAGAAAGCTCCCTTTTTTTAAATTGTGAGAAAATACATATAATAAAACACATGGCAAAATGTTTTGTAGGTTTCAAGTCTCCCTCGAAAAGGATGACCAACTTTCTCCTTTTTCCCCCAAAGAAAAACAGAACATTCACTAAATAAAGTGAGCAATTACAGCATCTGTATGGAAAGCACATCGGACAGTACGTAGGAGAAGCACGTGGGAATTACTAAGCCACAAGAAACGTGTTATGAATTAAAGGCAGTAATAGGTGGTAACTTGTGCCCCCTCTAATCTTTGGTAAGTCCTTATGAAGAACTCACCACAAAGAAAAAAAGGCGATTCTCAAATGATAATTATGAAAGTGACCAACTTTCTCTTAATGACTTCTTTCTGCTTTTGTATATTGCAGATTAAGCAGTTTTCTTTTCCCCTCTCAGTTACCCTCTCCTCACTCTAAACTCTTATACAAGATTCTCAGCCAGATTCTAGAGGGTCTTCCTCGACATTGTCCACAGCCAGGTGTTCATCACCATTTCAATATCACACGTTACTGTCTCTGCAATCACTGCTACCAACCCAGAACAAGCTTGCATCACTTGAAATCTGTCCCGTCCTACAAGTCTCGTCTGAATGGTTCTTTGCAATACGTCATTCGTCATCAAAACCCAGCCTCTTCCCGGCCAGGAGTTGGCTCATCGGGACCCTGGGTTCCAGGAGTGTCCTCCCATCTCCGTTAAGGAAGTTGTAGCTGATTAGCACAAGGACTACAGAATTTCGTACTAAGTTCGAGTGCAGTTACCGTGAGGCGTGCTTATCTTTTATCCTCACTACCGAGCTACAGGACTTGTCACCAGATAAGGGCACATATCTAGTGATGCATTCAACGC